ATTATTAAATTTGCATTTATTACTTATTATAAATACGAACATGATACTACTACTTTTTCATAAACATCTTGAAAAAATAAACAAAAAATTACAAATAAAATCTTTACTGATTTAAGATATATGAATTTCCTGAAACATTGATTTTAAATTAGTAGGATCTGATTATTATATTTTGTGCTGTAGCCACTAATTACAGTAGGCATAGTGGGGATGGAGAGGTCACAGGTTTACAGGAATTATTATATTTGAGAGGGCTAAAATCACTTTCGAATAAACGCTTCGATGCGAATCAGTAATTAGTATTTTCAAGACAGTAAAGTCCAAACAAAGTACATTGTTAACCAGCAAAGTTAGAAAGTATTAAAATGAGGTGCTGTATTTGCAAATAAGCATCAAAGCATTTTGTTGACTTGTGACCTCTCTGTGCTATCTATGGTTTGATTCCATTATGCCTATACTCCACAGTACTAGTCCTCTAGGATAAAATCACTTTAAAATTAATGAATCGATGCTTATAAAACGTTTATAAAAAAAATGTATTGAAAGTAAAGGATTTGTACCTCATAAAGCCCGTGTCTAATATGCCCCACCGCCTCTACGACGGATTTTGTTTTTGTGAATTCAATAACTGGTTAGTATACATCAAATCCATAGGTAATTAGTACTACAAGACTTCAAACGTTGTTGGTATGCTTTCAAACAGAGATAGATGAATTTTAAATATGTTTGTCTAAGAATAATGAATAAAACTATATTTTATATTTGGTATAATAATTATATGAATCCATGTTTCATTATATTTTAAATACCATTTTTAAAAAAATAAATCCTGTGGGGGAGTGTAGAATTATTGAAATTTTGATTTGAGGATATTGGTGTATGGGGATATGCCTGCTAAACATTCTATTACAGTTTTGACTTAATTCGACAGTTTTTTATTAAGTTATAGAAAGTTAAAGTTGAAAGTTGCAAAACCGCCAATTCTTTTTGTAGTTTATTTCGGTTCTCGGGTTCAAGAAGTTGACTTTTTTTATTTTTGAACCACCAAAGTTACAAAATCAGATATAATTTTGTAGATAAAAAAAAACACACATCATAGGAATACCAGCTCGGTACCGATGCTAAAAAACAGCTTTGTAAATAAACTAACAACGTTGCTATAACGCTGAATGTATCCTTGGGCAAAATATCACCTAAAAATTATCCACAGAAAATTGAAATTCATAAAAATAAACCCCACAAATCGGGCCATAATAAAACATATAATCGTTTTTGTAGATACAAAAAAAACAAAAATTATGGGAATACTAGCTCGGCGTCGATACTAAAAAACAACTTTGTAAATAAACGTAAAACGTTGCTATAACGCTGAATGTACCCCCGGGCAAAATACACCTAAAAATAATCCACAAAAAATTGAACTTTCAGAAAAATTTTAGAAAACATTATTCTCAATTTGAAAAGTTTATGAAATATATGCGTTAAATTTTAAAAGTTGTTGTCAGAAAAACGTGAGCTGGAAGGGGGTTAAAACAAAAAAAAAAGTAAGGAAAAATTGAGACCCCATTGCATAAAAACACTACGTAAAGAATAAATATAATTTCTTATTTAACTCATTAAGATATTGAGTGGTTTAAGATAAGTTAATCACCCCTGTATTATCACATAACATAACAATATAAATAATGTTATTTCACCCTTTTAGTCATACAAATGCATGCAGAACACTTATAACTTGTATTATTTATATAATATGCATTCAACTTGCGTTATAAAGTTTATTTCAACCTTAAATTGCTAACGATTTGTTGTTCTACATTATAATTTACAATTCCTACTATTTCTATAATTTTATTTTCTATAATTTTATTTTCTATCTTTAGGTTTTTTTTCATTAATTGGATCAGGATAAAAGTAGAAATTACAATCTAATTCGAAATGTATATTATAATACAACTATTCGAATACTCAAATCTTTAAAAATAATATATATATTTATGATTAAAGAATCATTATGATGTTGTCGATCTATTGTTAAAGAAATAAAATAGGTCAAACATTCAAATACAAAAACAACTGCAAAACAAAATATGTTATGAAAAACACCTCGTTTTCGATAAATAAAAATAATAAAACCATACAAATTGTGTTTGTAAAATACGAAGATTCTTATTATATTCAAAGTTTTGTTATACCTATAGGAACCTACCATTTGTTTACATTACAACAGTTGCTGTGAAAAACAGCTTGGTTTTGAAAAAAAAAAACAACAATACAATATTAGATAACAATTCACACGATAAATGATTATACAAAAACTCCTTATAATATTATGTTATTATTATGAAACATTTCCGAATTAGGAAATCGCAGTACATTAACTGTTGTAAATTAAAAAAAATAGTTACTCGCCACAGTTTTTATAACAATAACATTCTACAATGCACTCAAACACGAACATCAAAAATAAATTTGTTACAAAAAAAACGGTCCTTTTTTTATTTGTTTACACTGCCTCAATCAAAGAAGATAACAATTTACATTAAATTAAAAAACCTAAAAAAAACTATACACATTTGTTTGTAAAAGTTGACAAATTATGTCTTATTATTTCAAAACATAAAAGATTATAACACAAACCAAGACAACAAATACTATAATAAATGTATATCTAGACTTTGTACGGGAATGAAAAAGACGTTTTAAGTGAAATTTAAAATTTACAATACAAATAAAGTAAAAACAAAATATTAAAAATTTTTGGTTTTATCATTTATATACCTAAATGTTTATAACATTTATATTCTCGCATTTTTGAACCTTGATACCTTACATACCGTAATGTTGCCCTGATAATTTTTTTAATTTAAATTGTATAGGTACTTATTATAACTTACGAACATAATACTACCACTTTTTTTAAATCATCTTGAAAAAATTAACAAAAAATTACAAATAAAATCTGTACTGATTTAGGAAATATGTATTTTCTCAAACAGTGATTCAAAGTTAGTAGGATCCGGTTATAATATTCTGTGCTGTAGTCACTAATCACAGTAATGTTGTCTATAAGAACCAGTTAAAATGAATTGTAATTTATATGTTGTCTGTTTTTGGATATAACTATGAATTTTGAATATGTTTGTCTAAGAATAATGAATAAAACTATATTTTATATTTGGTATATTTGTGGTGAGCGCTGATTTGAGGATATTGGTGTATAGGGATATGCCTGCTAAACATTCTATTACAGTTTTGACTCAATTCGATACCGAAGTGTATATTATTATACAACTATTCGATTACTCAAATCTTTAAAAATACCGTTTTTAAGAAAATAAATCCAGTGGGGGAGTGTAGAATTATTGAAATTTTGATTTGAGGATATTGGTGTATAGGGATGTGCCTGCTAAACATTCTATTACAGTTTTGACTTATTCGACAGTTTTTTATTAAGTTATAGAAAGTTAAAGTTGAAAGTTGCAAAACCGCCAATTCGTTTTGTAGGTTATTACGGTTCTGGGATTCAAGAAGTTGACTTTTTTTACTTTTGAACCACCAAAGTTACAAAATCACGTATAATATTGTAGATAAAAAAAAACACACATCATAGGATTACCAGCTCGGTATCGATGCTAAAAAACAGCTTTGTAAATAAACTAACAACGTTGCTATAACGCTGAATGTATCCTTGGGCAAAATATCACCTAAAAATTATCCACAGAAAATTGAAACTCAGAAAAATGAACCCCACAAATAACGTCCCCGAGCTCCTAAAATGATTACTATGGTATTACTGACAAAGTGATGAACTCACAGATATTGAAAATATTGTCATCATATTGTTAATTACCATACATGGGTATCTATGGTAATACATTTTCATAGACAGACGACTAACCCTAAACGAATCCAACCTAATATTAAAAAATAATTTGCAATCAAATAATAATTGTCATTAGTTACAAAGATTTTATCGATACTTGTATATGTATCTGTACCTTTCTTACACATCAGCCCGAAATTAATTTTTTTATAAAAATTATATATAGATGTTTTAATTTTTGTTGTGGTTTGGTTAAACTTAAAATTTACTACCGTCAAAATTAATTTTCAGATTTTTTCCCCTAAAGGAAAAAAGTTTGACCAATGTCAAATAATGTCCAATTCAGGGTAATGATTTCATCGTGAACCACTGAATATTTCATAGGGTTTAATAAGAATGTGATCTAACTGTTCATATTATTGTTTTTTACCCCTCACACTTAAAGAGTCAGTCTTAGGTTTATACTTTAATTATAATAAGGGTTAAACGTTGTATACATAAAAACGATTTGTTTGTTAAACAAGTGTTTTGTGCTATAATTATATATTATATATAACAATTCACACCGTATGCATAGGTACTTGTTGTGTTATTATTCTGAATCACATAAAAACATGTTGTTGCAAACTCAATAGTATCACCATACATTTTTCAGTACTCATATACTTTATATATATACATAAGTTATATTCCGCTTCAGATTAATGTAAACAAAATGAATCCCAGAAATAACGTCACCGAGCTACTAAAATGGTTACTTAAGTATTACTGACAAAGTGATTCACACTGTATGCATTGGTGCTTGTTGGTTTATTATTCTGAGTCACACAAAAACATGTTGATGCAAAGTTACTGTTGATGCAAACTTAGTTATATTCCGCTTAAATTAATGTAAATATCGAATGTTGCTTGTGTAAATAAATTCGCATAAACAATTTTGAAAAAAACATTTCTAGATTTTATTTTTTTGGACGACACAATAAAGGCCATTCGGCAAGTCGTAAGTAAACCTTTGCAGCAGCCGGTTTGACTATCGTTGCAGTTTTTTAAGTAAGTAATACTACCAAAATGTCAAAAATGGTAAAACTGTAAACTTTTAATATGTTTTAATAAATTTTAATTATTTTTCCGCATTAGACCTTCGATAACATTTAATCATCTATTCCAAGTAATACTATCAGACTTCAAAAGCTGTAAGTACGCTTTCAAACAGAAATAGATGAATTTTAAACACGTTTATTTAATAATAATATACAAAATTATAATTTATTCTTGTTATATTAAACATATAAATCCAAATTTCTTTAAATTTTTTTATTTTAAATCAGTTTTAAAACTAAATACCATTTTTTTAAAAATTAAATCCTGCAGGGAGTGCAGAATTATTTAAATTTGGATTTAAGGATATCTGAGAATAGGGACATGCCTGATAAACATTCTATTAAAATGTTGTCCTAATTCGATAGTTTTCTGCTATTTTATAGAAAGCTAACGTCAAAAGTTGAAAAACTAATAATTTTTTTTTTAGATTTTTATCGATTCTGTGCGTAATTAAGTAAATTTTTTCTACTATTGAACCAATCACATATAATTTCGAGTATCTTATAAAAATCGGGCCATAGAATAACATATTATCATGATTACAGTTAAAAAAACACACACCATAGGAATACTAGCTCGGCATCGGTGCTAAAAAACTGTTTTGTAAATTAATTAACAACATTGCGCTGCAATATATGTTTTTATTTTACTGCATTGCCGAAATATGGCTAAACAAAATGTACTTAGAAGTTGAATATAGTTGTAATTTTAAATTAAAAAAACTATTTTTTCGTAGTTTTTTGTTGCTTAGTTTATGATAAATTGTTTGAATAGATATAATAATTGTCGTTTAAATACAAACATAATATGTATCTATATTTTAAATTTGTGTCCATGATGCAAAATTTATGATTTTATATTTTTAAAATACATTTCAAAGTTCAAGCTTTATTTTTACCTCATATTTTTAATGTATTAAAAATATAAGTATAAATTTTGAAAAATAATAATATCAGAACAAATTACCTCTGGTTTGCATTTTTTCGAATAAATTTAGACTAAAATTAAATATATAAGCACAAGCCAATGTTCATATTCTGTGGTATCAATTATATAATAACACTAGTTAAAATTAGTATTAAAAAATAAATAATTACCATTAACAGAGTTATTAGAGTATCAAATAAAAGCCGGACCGTTAGATTTTTTGTACTTTTGACCCAATCACATATAATTTCGAGTATCTAATGAAAATCGGGTCATAGTCACACATGGTATCGTGTTTGCAGATACAAAAAAAAACACACACCATAAGAATACTAGCTCGGTATCGATGCTAAAAACAGATTTGTAAATAAACTAACAAGTTTATTTTTCTGTATTGCCGAAATATGGACAAACATAATGTTTTTGAAATTTAAATGAGCATTTATGATGAAACATTTTTTTAAACACCTCAAGTTTAAGCTATTTTTCATCTTGTACTTTTATTAATTTAAAATATAAATTTTCTAAGAACGTTTCATCCAAATATATTATTCTTTTTCGATTATATCATAAAAATGTTTGCTATAAAAGCATGGATTGAGAGTAACAAGCATTTTGCTTAGTCACGTTTTGCAATGGGAAATTTAGTGCAAAACGTATTCTTAAAAGATAACTATAAAAAAAAAACCATACATCTAAAATAATTTTAAAACCAAAACGAGAATGTTAATAATTGGCCTTAATCGGCAAAACATTCACTTGGTTTTTTTGAATCTATTTTACTATTTATTAAAGTTTGTTCGTTGTGAAAACAACACATAATTTAAAAAATTTAACATTCCCGCCACCATTGCCAGCCACATCCCCATCCCCATCCCCACCCTCATTAGAAGGATATATAAGGCTATAGAAGGATATATGTGTAACTACTGTGAATAAGTGTGTAAGTCGATTTCAGTGATTTTACAGGGAAGCGATTTTAAACTTTGACCAGCTGCCATAAATCGCTACTTAATCAATAACTCACATCTCTCTTAAGGGTTACTTGTTGGTCCAACGAGGTAGACATTTATCCGTGGTGTGCTAAACGTCTCACCTTACCACTACGATTTCGTGGGGCTATGTCGCGATTTCTTATCATTGACTGTCCCGTATTGTAATGTATAGTAATTGGTAAAAACATATCGCTAATATCTTATCTCTTATCTCTCCTATCTAATCGGATAAATCAGCTGATTTTTTCGTTATGATAACCGGAGTCGATTGTAAATGGTGACGATTTTTCCGTGTATATGCTAAGACAAAAAAATGTCAATATCCCACTCAAGTAATTGAAATTAACTCAAATAATCCTAAAAGACATGAATTAGATAAATAAAAAAAAACTATTTTTCGGTTAGGTTAAGTTATCTCTAGTCAAAAATCATAAAATATGTATAAAACAAATTTTAAAACCAAAACTTTCTCATCTCGACTACTCCGGAAGACCCGAGCCTTATATAAATTGCATTTATATTTATTAATTTTTCTAGATAAAAATGAAAATTTCCTATGTTTTAATATCACTAATCTGCGTAAATGTTTTGGCTGATATAAGTATAAGTAAGTATTTTATTTATACTTAAGCACACAACGTAGATTAAAATCTAAAAAAAAAATAATATTTAACTATTCTTTACAGTGGAATATATAGAGATGGTTGAAATTTCAAGTGAGTTATATTTTATAATCATATAGACTAACTTTGAGAGTTTTTAAATTTCACTAATTTTACACATACCTATTTTTTTTAAAACATTTACTACAGACATACAAATCAAGAAAGCTTCTGACTATAAAGATGATCATATAAAAAGTAAGATAATAATCAATGTACTAATATATAATTGTATTACAATGATTGCCTAGGTGTCAAATTACTTGTAAATAAAATATAAATTTATTTTTATATTTAAGAGGATGCCGCCCATGCAATTTTTTGTTATAATAATACGAGTTTGGCTTTCATGATACAGCGCCTCCAAAAATTGTCTTACAAAAAAGTTACCTTTATCACCTGAAAGTTATGAAACTTAACATTGTCTTTAATTTAAGATTTTGTAAAAAATTGCCAGCACAAAACTTTTTAATACATGGGCGGAGTGGCATCTTCAAAATGTGGTAGTTTTATATTTTTGATTGGATCTGTGCACTGTCGCATGGGGGCACGAGCCTTTACTAAAAGTTACTATAATTTACTAAGAGCACACTTGACTCTAAAAATTGATTATTTACTTAACAGGGGTAATTTTTTCTAATGATTTTTTTTTATTAATTTTAATTTTATTTGGAACTTTTCTAAAGGTCGAACTTGTATTTGATTGTTTTAGATGGATTGGAGCATGTACTTACAGTCATGATAGATAAAGATTACTATGGAACGGGTAATAATAATTATGTGATATTAAAATTCTTGTTTAAAGAAGAAATGTACCTATAGAAATGTTTACAGTTAACAACAAAAATATATCTTTGACCCTTTCACTGCCATTGTGCTTTACACACTGCTACATGTCACAACTATCGCCATACTGAAAAAGGTTTCGTAATTAATTGATTGATTGTAGAATAGTAGCACGTCTAGGACAGTGAAAGGGTTAAGGCTAATGTTCAGTGATAATAGTCTTATTCTACTCCCCCCATGTGATTCAATACCGCCATTGTCATTTCATAAGATTTCAAACTAACTTAATATTATAGAGCTAGCCATTTTATTTCGAATTTCTAACACACATATTATTTTTTCTTAGCTTTTCTACCCTAGATTATGATAGAATAGAGTATTAAATTCATTACAACAATTTTTTTATTGCTTTTTTCAGAATATTTAAATCAAATGTTCATTGTACCGGGTAATACTTTTTTTAACATATTTTCACACAGTCGCTTGATAATCAAAAAGTATATACATTTTTCGCTTTAATTTCAGAACATGCAGATACTAAAATCTATGACTCTCTAGAACGTAATCAATTAACACTTTAATATAATACAAAGAATTATATATTGTAAAATATTGGTTTTATTTTCAAATTTAGATTCCATAATGACAGAAAAATATAAATTGCAACAGGATATTTTATACATAATAGGTGATTATAAAATTATCAGTTTTTTAATAAACAACTTTCTAAGGCCAATAAGCCCCTTAAAACGTAAATGTAAACAAAAACTACAAAAATATTAGATTGTTACATATCTTAGGTTTTTCAAACACATCTTTAAACAATTTCGAAGTGTACTGAATATAATTAGGTTCATCAAGGAATAATAGGTCACAAGAAAATTTGTAAAAGAGAGAATTAATACACATAACAAATTTGATTATTATTAAATTCATTGTGAAGAAAGTATTATTTCAAACGTTACTACTTGCTAGAGATTAATTTTATGATAATAAAACATTTTGCATTGACTTATTAGTCAAAGTAATTTTATTTTTCGAATGACTGTTATAAATTAATATAACAACTGGGTTTACGTAGCTGTATTATATTCTTGTTTCAGGTATCCGTGCTGATAAACCCAAAAGTAATTACAAAGTTATTCAACAGTTATTTAATATTAATACTATGTTTAGCATTAATTAATTGAAACTGTTATGGATAAATAAACAAACCGAGTTTAAATAACTAAATTATTTTTAAAATTATTTTTACAGTTATTCCGGCGGCTAATGATGAAAAACAAAGTATTTACAAAGTTATTCATTAGTAGTATAAAGAACTTATGATTTGATTGAACGATCAAATTTTCTTTACACATTATTTTTTTATACATTATTGACAATTATGTAAATTTTAAAAGCACATAATTTATTGTTTGGTAAAAGTTATCTCCTTTTTTAGTAACTGTTATGGATCAATGTAATAAAAGGGTTTAAAACTGTATTTTTTTAAAATGTATGTTACAGAAATTCCTATGCCTGCTGATACAACTAAAAGTAATTACAAAGTTAATTACAAAAAATTTAGTAAAGTTTAGTTGGGGAGACTTACTGTTATAATAATTTTAACAACTATTATATTTAGAGTAATTTTTGGAACAGCGTTTATCAATTTTTAACATTTTGCCACAAAATACCATTTTTAACGTAATAGATTGTTGACGTTTTATGTTAGCAAATACTTATGACTCGACAGACAAAATACGATACTAGTTCTTGTTGTTTGATATACTACCAAGAGCTGGTTTAATCATAGTACTCATAGCACTAATAACGCTTCATTTATCATTGTACTCTACGCTAATAATTGACATTGGAAACCCCTCACATCTTACCTTTCCGATAGGAAAGAATGCACTAAAGCGAACAGACCTTCTACTATCTCCTCAAGCGTCTATCAATGGGACCACCTTAGTCCTCTTTATTTTGTTAGCTCATTAGAGGGACTTTTGCAAAAACAAGAAGTTCTTTTTTTTTGCAGACGACATGATATATATTTTCATTAGTATTGCTTTTTCCGCGGATTATTGAAACCTACAAGCTGAAGTTATTTGATTTCTTGACTGGGCTCATCTCCTTGGTTATTATGAAAATTTTTAGGAGCTATAATTCTCTTCTACATGGTTTATGTGCTTCGTAGTACATACCTTCGCTATATTTTGTGTATAAATGCTGTAGCTATCAGGACCTTAAGAGCCATCGGCTTAATGCTAATACTATAATTTGAACTATACTGTATAGTTTTTTGTTCATTGTTTAAGATATTATTGTTTGACTGATTATTGCACTTCTATATTGTACTTTGTATGCGATATTTTTGTACATTTGTGAAAAAAATGCGTATTAGTGATTTAAATATCAAAATAAAACATAAATACGATTATATTATTAAATACTGTATTATAAACCAGTTTATATATAAATTTGTGCAGGTGATGGAATTTCGAAAAGTACCACATTTAATAATGCGAGAAAAATTGTTAAGAGAAAACTTTGTTGTAAATATAAACATACAATTTTAAAGTATTACTTTTTACATAATCAATTTATTTGTACTATATTGATAATTTGTGGGTTTTTTTTAGAGATAATTAAATTTTTTTGTGTAACAGTAATACACGTATATTTTAATTTATTTCTTGAGCGGAGGGGGCCTTATCGCCTTAAAATCAACACTACAATTGGCATTGATTAATTGAAACTGAGATGAATAAATACAATAGACCGGGTTTAGTTAACTAAAAAATGTTTTAATATTTGTTTTACAGGTACCCTGCGCATGCTGATGAAAACAAAAACATTTACAAAGATGAGAGTAAATATATAGTATTGCTTGTTTGAAAGATACAATTTGCTTATCAAATTCTTTTGTTCGCACAATAATAACTAAAAAGTTAAATTTTAGTTGGGGAGCCTTAATAACCTTTTACCACTTTTATATTTAGGGTATTATTTTGAACGGCGTGTATCAATTTTTAAGAATACACTTATGCTCAAGAAGCGGTTTCTGATCCTTCTATTACGACATAAACATTTTTTTAGTATTGTATCAGTGGATGGTTGCCTACTACATATTGAACTTAGGTTTTTTCTGTATTTGGCTCATCTCAACGGTCTGACACTGTATGTTGAAAAATGTCATATTTTGTCATTTTCCTGGAACCGTATTCCGCTACTGCACGACTTCTTTCTTCATGGTATTCAACTCCATCGAGTTTTTTCTATTAATGATCTTAACACCTTATGTACGCTTTCTCTACATTTTAGAGATCACTTAAACGCGGTAGCTAAAAAGGCTTTAAAAGACATAGGTTTTGTGTTAATATTATATTTTGCATTCATTAATTGGTCAAATGATTCTCATTTTTAGAGTTACTGCTATGGATACATACAACATCACGGTTTGACTAACTATATAATTTATTTGTTACAGAAAATGATGTTACAGGTAGTACTATGCATGATGATGAATACAAGCGAATTTACTATGCTACTAGTTAGTATTAATCAGAACTTATGACTTATTTGAAAGATAAAATTTGCTTTATATATTATTATATTGTTCACATAACAATTTACTATAAGTTGGGGAGACTTGTTTTAAGGGTTCTAGAATGAAATAGTAATTTTTGCAACCTTACCAAACTTAGAACCAGATAAAAATTGAACGAATACATAATACATTTTGAGCATACGCGCCTTTTTGCTAAAATCTTATCTCTATTTTATTTGTTCACCCCTTCTAGGTTCCATCAATTTTAGGCTTCATCCTGATATTCCAGTTATCAAATTTTTGTTCGTTCCTTCCCTCTGTTTGTACTTATTAGGACATTAAATATTAAAAGTAAAACACATAATTATGAATATATTAATCTTTTTGAACCAGTTATTAATATAAACATTTATGTAGGTGCCGAAACTAATAATTACCATAATTGTTTGCGTTCCTTCCCACTCTGTTTTTACTTATTAGGGTGTTAAATTAAAAAAATCAAAATACATACGAATATATTAATAAATATTATATTTTCAAACCAGTTATTTATACACTTATGCAGATACTGAAACTATAAAATTGACCGAACTTGGAAAGGCGAGAAGAGGTCTTACTGGAGATGCTATTATAAATGTGCTTACCAAAAAATTAGGTGATTATAAATTAAAGATTTAATATTATTTATTTTTTTAATAACATTTATTTTTACAGCATGATTCATTTTCAATAACACAGTATTTTATAGACTACTTAACACAACTTAAACAAAATTTAATATTTTGTTTCTTTATAATTTTTACAAATATACTTAATATTTATTATACAATTTTTAATTTCAGCTCTTTTTTTTCTAATCGTGTTTATAGTGACCCCTGTTTAAAATGTTCACATGTAAAACTTAGGAATATAGTGGCTTATAAGTTAAATTTGGTTATTTTTAACAACTGCTTTTTGATTTTTTAGCTGAAATCAACAAGATGAAACTTGACAAAGAGAAATCTGCTAATAAGATTTGTACTTTGATAGCAATGTGGGTTAGTCTTAAAATTTCTTCAAACACGTATTATTCTATAAATCCATATGATGATATATGTAAGGTAGTAATAAAAAGGGGTCAAGACAGACCTGTTGTAAAATACAGATCACTTGAAGGCGAATATTGGCAAGTAAATGCCTCTAAACAAAAAAAACTAAATGTACAACTACGCGAGGATATCAGTACTCCGCTTGAGTTAAGTAGCGAATAATACTAGATATCAATCGTTTATTTATTTTAAAATTATATTTAAATAAATAAATAAAGTTTGCATATTGCACTAAATTAGTTTATTTGATATATGCTTATTTATTGTTATTATTATGTAGTTTCATTATCATTAGTATTCCCATTATTATCATTATAATTATCAGCCGATTGTCATATGTAAAATAAAATAAATAAATTATAAAATAAACGCGTTTGTTCACGATTTTAAACACATTTGTTGCGAATTATTATTGATATTATGGCGATCAACCTGATCGTGTCTACCCTAATACAACAAAATATTTTTAAGCACATAATTGTCATTAGGTACAATGTTTTTGTTGATATTTGTATATTGACATATGTATTTTTAGCTTCGATGCAAAGCGAGAAGGTATTGGTTTTACTCTGATGTGTGTTTTTTTTTTATCCGTATACACTGTAACTTTTGTAATACTGGACCAATTCCTTCGAGTAGCAACTCTATAAATCTCAAATTTCATCTAGTTGGTACTTGGGGGGGGGGGGGGGGTAAAAGTTGAAAAAGTTAAATTCTTCACAGACGAAAGTTGAAAAAACAAAAAAAAAACCGTACGAGTTTTTTAGTTAGAACTTTTACTGGCTATAATTTCGAGAAAAAGAGTCGGATCGAGTTGAAATGTATAAGAAATAATTATTTGGTATGCCCGCACACGTCAATTGTGTCAAACTTAAACTATACCCATTTCCCACCCCCCTAGGGGGGGTACAATTTTTTTTGTTTTCCGGGTTTTTAGCCGTAATTTTAAAACTTTTGGGTTGAAAATTTGCCAGTAGTTGGAACTCATATGTACCCATAACATATTAAACGGGAAAAAAATTCGGCACTACAGTTTTTTTTAATTGCCGGGAAACTGTGTTTTCGCAGATTTCGTATATTTTAACAAAAACACCTAAAATCTTTAAAAAAAATTGATCAAATCATTAAAACAATTTTATTTATATCTATGCAGAATGATACTATTAGGTTTTGTGCTCAAGTACTACTCTTGACTTAAAGTTTACACAAATTAAATTTTTTTTTTTTTTTCTTAAAACCCGGTGTACCAGATGTGAGAAACGAACAGACACTAAAAACTATCAGTTGGTAACGTCTATCCGTGTTAGATTAGGTTAGGGCCCAATAATCGGTATCATAATATTGTGTTTATTACATGATATCACAGGCGACTAAATCGTGTAACTGATTATAGTAATCACTCGATTTATTGGGAAAAAAACCTATCCGTGTACTTATTAAGACACTTAATGATTCTGATACGACAAAACCACTGTCGTTGACTCGTTATTTTATAGCCTGCGTTATATAATCTTACCGAAGGTTAACTATGAGTATATAATGTCCAACTACCTGCAAATAATGAAGAGGAGTGTTGTTTTTTGGATTCAGATTAAGTGTTAGTTTTTATGCAGTATACCGCCTCAAAATGTTTTTTTTATTACACAATTTTTTTAAAGGAAAACTAATGTTTTGTACATTGTTATACTGTTATTCATTTAAAGAGATTCACGCTTGATTGTTTAAATTGTCTAATATTAGATAATCTGCTTCGTGCTTATTTTAATTTTTTAGTTTATCAACTTGTAGCTCTAATTTTGTAAAAAATATTTCATTATTTTATTACTATGTACTTTTACTATTAAGATAAATTTTAATAGTAATTAAGTCATAAATGATAATACTTTATTTTATGACTAGATCAAATCTCGTGAACATTTAACATCATGATACTGCTCCTATGCTATTATTAAAAAAACACAATTTTTAAAATCTCCATAAAAGGTTATTGTTAAATAACAGGCAACAGCCGACTGCTAGTGGCTATACACGTTAGTAATATTTAACTAATAAGTAATATATGTAGGTAAAATTTATTGTTTTCTCCATCATAGTACCAGTATAAGATTTAATTTAATTTAAATGTAAGAAAATCGATTTTTCTTTAGAAAATAACAAGAAATTAATATACACATGAGGCAGTAAAACGGCGATTTTCTAATGTATTTAAATGGTAAAACCCGTTTCACTATCCCACCCTTTACATTTTAAGGATCTATGAAAAGGTTTTTTTAGTTGCATTTTATTTTGTACATTGTCAATCTAGTAAAATAGAAGTATAATATAGCTTTGAAATAATATAATCTGTGAAGTATAAATAGTTTGTGTGAGATTGCTTTAATGGAAGTATATAATACATAAATATTAATTTTATTAAGAGTAAGCGATTATAATTTAAACTATGGAGTACAAACGATTGAAACATAAATCGTCGACCATTCCAACAAAATATAACAAAACATTGTATATTTGTTATTTGGTCCACTAAGTTTTTGCAAAAAAAAAAAACCAGTACAGTGGGGTCGGTGCATAGTGGGGTCGGAACATAGTTGGGTCGGGGCATATTGGGGACGGGGAGGTCACAGGTTTACAGAAAGTTTTAAATCTGAAAGTGATAAAATCACTTTCAAAAAAACGCTTCGATGCAAATCGGTAGTTAGTATTTTCAAGCCAGTACAGAATAAACCAGAAAAGTTAGAAAATTTTAAATTAAGTTTCTGTATTTACAAATGAGCATCAAAGCGTTTATTTGAAAGTGATTTTATTCAATTTTATCACTTTTATTTATAATAATTCCTGTAAACCTGTGACCTCTCCGTTCTTAAAACTATATTTTATATTTGGTTTATTAATTATATGAATCCATGTTTCATTATATTTTTTTTTATTTTAAATCAATTTAAAAATCAAATACCATTTTTAAGAAAATAAATCCTGTGGGAGAATGTAGAATAATTGAAATTTTGATTTAAGGATATTGGTGTATAGGGATGTGCCTGCTAAACATTCTATTGCAGTTTTGACTTAATTTGACAGTTTTTTATTAAGTTATAGAAAGTTAAAGTTGAAAGTTGCAAAACCGCCAATTCTTTTTGTAGGTTATTTCGGTTCTCGGGTTCAAGAAGTTGACTTTTTTTATTTTTGAACCACCAAAGTTACAAAATCAGATATAATTTTGTAGATAAAAAAAAACACACATCATAGGAATACCAGCTCGGTACCGATGCTAAAAAACAGCTTTGTAAATAAACTAACAACGTTGCTATAACGCTGAATGTATCCTTGGGCAAAATATCACCTAAAAATTATCCACAGAAAATTGAAATTCATAAAAATAAACCCCACAAATCGGGCCATAATAAAACATATAATCGTTTTTGTAGATACAAAAAAAACAAAAATTATGGGAATACTAGCTCGGCGTCGATACTAAAAAACAACTTTGTAAATAAACGTAAAACGTTGCTATAACGCTGAATGTACCCCCGGGCAAAATACACCTAAAAATAATCCACAAAAAATTGAACTTTCAGAAAAATTTTAGAAAACATTATTCTCAATTTGAAAAGTTTATGAAATATATGCGTTAAATTTTAAAAGTTGTTATCAGAAAAACGTGAGCTGGAAGAGGGTTAAAACAAAAAAAAAAGTAAGGAAAAATTGAGACCCCAATGCATAAAAACATTATGTAAAGAAAAAATATAATTTCTTATAAAACCCTGTAATATATTGAGTGGATTAAGATAAGCTAATCACCCCTGTACTATCACATAACATAACAGTGTAAATAATGTTATTTCACCCTTTTAGTCATACAATGCATGCAGAACCCTTATAACTTTAATTATTAATATAATATGCATTCAACTTGCGTTATAAAGTTTATTTCAACCTTATGTTTTACAAATTGTTAACGATTTGTTTTTCTACTTGATAATTTACAATTTTTTTTCCTACTATTTCTATTATTTTATTTTCTATCTTTAGGTTATTTTCCTTAAATTGGATCAGGATAAAAGTAGAAATTACAATTTAATTAAAATGTATATTATTATACAACTATTCGATTACTCAAATCTTTAAAAATAATATATATAGATGATTATAGAAACATTATGATGTTGTCGATCTACTGTGTAAGAAATAAAATAGGTCAAACATTCAAATACAAAAACAACTGCAAAACAAAATATGTTAAGAAAAACACCTCGTTTTCGATAAAAAAATAAATAATAAAACAACACAAATTGTTTTTGTAAAACCTCGAAGACTCCTATAATATTCAAAGTTTGTAAAACCTACAGGAACTTAGCTAATATTTGTTGGAATTACAACAGTCGTTGTGGAAAACAGCTTGCTTTTGATAAAAAAAATGCAATAACAATAACACTGCCTCAATCGAAAAAGACAATATCTTACTTTAAATAAAAAAACCTAAATAAAACAATACAAATTTGTTGTAAAATTTGACAATTCTTATTATGTTAAAACCTAAAGAAATTTAACACAAACCAAATAAACAAATGCTCTAATAAATGTATCTCTAGACTTTGTGCGGAATTGTAAAAGATGTTATGATTGAAATTAAAAATGTACAATACAAATAAAGTAAAATGCAAAATATTAAAAATATTTGGTTTTATTATTTATATACCTAAATGTTTTTACAATTATTTTTCTCGCATTTTAGAACCTTGATGGTACAATAATTAAAAATTTGTTATTAAATTTGCATTTATTACTTATTATAAATACGAACATAATACTACTATTTTTTCATAAACATCTTGAAATAATAAACAAAAAAATACAAATAAAATCTTTACTGATTTAGGATATATGAATTTCCTGAAACATTGATTTTAAATTAGTAGGATCTGATTATTATATTTTGTGCTGTAGTCATTAATTACAGTAATGTTGTCCATAAAAACCAAAGCCACCATTCTAAAATATAACAACTCCCAGTTGTATTTTAAAATCAATTAAAATTTATATTTTGTCCATTATTTGATATAACTATAGAAGTGTTAGCAGCGGCATTGTGGGGGGGGGGAGGTCACAGGTTTACAGGAATTATTATATTTGAGAGGGATAAAATCACTTTCGAATAAACGCTTTGATGCGAATCAGTAATTAGTATTTTCAAGCCAGTAAAGTCCAAACCAAGTACATTGTAAACCAGCAAAGTTAGAAAGTATTAAAATGAGGTGCTGTATTTGCAAATAAGCATCAAAGCAATCTGTTGACTTGTGACCTCTCTGTGCTATCTATGGTTTGATTCCATTATGCCTATACTCCACAGTACTAGTCCTCTAGGATAAAATCACTTTAAAATTAACGCTTATAAAACGTTTATTTAAAAAATGTATTGAAAATTAGGATTAGTACCTCATAAAGCCCGTGTCTAATATGCCCCACCGCCTCTACGACAGATTTTGTTTTTGTGAATTAAATAACTGGTTAGTATACATCAAATCCATAAGTAATTAATACTACAAGACTTCAAACGTTGTTGGTATGCTTTCAAACAGAGATAGATGAATTTTGAATATGTTTGTCTAAGAATAATGAATAAAACTATATTTTATATTTGGTATATTAATTTTATGAATCCATGTTTCATTATATTTTTTTATTTTAAATCAATTTAAAAATCAAATACCATTTTTAAGAAAATAAATCCTGTGGGGGAGTGTAGAATTATTGTAATTTTGATTTGAGGATATTGGTGTATGGGGATATGCCTGCTAAACATTCTATTACAGTTTTGACTTAATTCGACAGTTTTTTATTAAGCTATAGAAAGTTAAAGTTGAAAGTTGCAAAACTGCCAATTCTTTTTGTAGGTCATTTCGGTTCAGGGGTTCAAGAAGTTGACTTTTTTTACTTTTGACCCACCAAAGTTACAGTGAAAGAGTAAAAAATTGGTTCTATGATAATTTGTGAAAATGTCTTATTTCAAAATTTCTATATATTGGTTATTATACTATTATTATTCTTATTGTATACCCTCTATACTCCAAAACAGTTTATTACTTTTTATTATTATTATGATTACTTTTTTTCAGTTTGTTATAATCATATTCCCTAGTTTAATTGTATTTTTGTTGTTGTTATTTTACATAATTATTTAACATCTTGATACGTATCTCTGCTCTACGATAAAAGGTTCTACCTCAGTGTCGAGCAAAGCTAGTAATTTCATTATCTATTTAATCTACCTTGTAACATTTCTACTACTAGCAAATAAAGATTATTATTATTATAATTTAAAATCAAAATTTTCAACACAACTTAAAATACTTATGCAACGCTTACAAAAATAGTTAATATTTAGGTAGGTACGGATGACTAATCAATACATTATAACTAATTGATTACAAAATAGGTTGCTATATATTTATATTTTTTTTTTTTTTTGGTAATATATATTAAATCTTTAAGTCATATAATTTGAGAGGGGGTAAAACCAAAACATTTTTTGAAGAATTGAGATCACATTATAAAAACATTTTGGAAAAAAAAATGCAATTAATAATTAAACCCAGTGAGATGTTGAGTGGTACACGATAAGTGAATCACCCTATATAATATAAATGTTTAGTACTGTTTTTTTATCCGAGAAACCTATAAAATCAAATAACACGTTTATAAAATATATGTATTGAAAATAAAAGGATTCATACCTAATACTCACCATGTTTAATATGCCTCACCGCCTCTACGATTGCTTTTGTTTTGGTAAATTAAATAACAGGTGAGCAAAAATTTTAACTCCTCTAAATAACGTAAATATGTTTGTCATCAAAATAAAACTATGTTGCTTATGTTAATAAATTCGCACAAACAATTTAAAAAAACATATTTACATTGCACTGTATTGGTCGACATAGCAGATTCTATTCGAAAAGTCGTCATAAAAACCTTGAAGCAGTCGGTTTAACTATCGTTGATATTGTTTAAGTAAGTATTGCTCTCAAAACTTCAAAAGTATTAAAATTGTACATTTTCAATATTTTTTTCTAATTTTCTTATTTATTCGCATAATAGACATTCGATTACATATAATCTACTTGTCGTATTTCATTATACATCAAGGTCATAAGTAAGAATTCAAAAGTTGTAAATATCAGTGCCGGATTTAACCATTGTGCCGCTTTAAGCCCTAAACAAATTGCCGCCTTTTAATATAAATATTTTTCTAGTCTAAATGTTATTAAAGCATACAAATATAGTTGTTTCCTTTAGTACTTAAAATTTTATTGATGTAAAATAAAAATATACAGCTGTTATAAAAATGTTTACATACGTTCATATGAAAAACTTAATTATAAAAAATATGATATAAAACATAATGATAAAAAATATGGTAGTAAAAAATGCTTAAATAATTAATTTTTAAATTATATTCAAAATGAAATAGTTAGTGCCTAGTACTCATCGGCTTTCTGCGCGACTTTTGAGTCGCATAATCATCTACTATGACATCGAAGTCCATTTTGTTCACTAGTTCAGTTTCAATTGTCAATAAACTCAGTGAATTTAGTTTATCTCCTTCCATACTTGCTCTCAAATAATTTTTTATGCGTTTTAACGTAGAAAAAGAACTCTCGGCTGAACTGTTAGTTATTGCCATACATAAAAGCATACGTAGAGCAATATCTACATTAGGAAAAACTGTATATAAATTATTACCGCGTAAGAGTATTGATAACTCGTTAACTCCATCAATATTTTTATTTATACTTTGAAGATATGCTCGAAAATGAACACATTCACAAGCAAATGATTTTTCTAAATCAACGTTATAAAATTCTTGAAGCTTATTAGCTTTTTGAGTTATTTCTTCAGGTGAAAGTAGTATTAAATTAGTCAAAAAGTTATATTTGCCAAATGTATTAATATAAGCAGCGCATCTCTTTTCAATTTCACTCTTCACACGATCCAGTATGGAAAAATATGTTCCTATTCTTAATTTATCACTTCCAGTCATATGGACTTCATTTTCTCTTGTCTCGCCTGCTTGAAGTTTGCGTTTTTTAGTCCTTACTTTATCAAACTCGTACTTTTCACTCTTTATTTTTTTTGTCAAAATTACATATTCATTAAAACATTCATCATTTCGAATAGATGTTATGAAGGTAATTAAAGATTTATAGAGTTCGACTACTTTTCCCAAATCTGTGTTTACTTTTTGAAGCTCTTTACTTGTGCTATTAAAACGCTCCAAAATTGCATTCCAAAATACAGTCATAAAAACTGTTTAAAAACGGTCAAGTTGACGTCTTAAGCCAGCTGTTTCACAACGCGTCGTCGCCTTTTCAAATTCATCTTCTTCTAATAAACTTAAACTTCTCATAACACCGTCATAGTTTTGATATAAGCTGTCACAAGCTTCATGCCGAGCAGACCACCGAGTTCCGTCTGCTCTTTTGACAACTTTTTTACCGAGCGTTAGGCTAGACTTTAAAATATCCCATCGTTTAGTAGATGCAGAAAAAAAAGAATAAAGATGTTGAATAGTGTTAAAAACGATAAACCTTCTTTCACGCATTCAGCTACACAAGTCCCAACCAAGTTTAGCGAGTGAGCAGCACATGGTACGTAATACGCGTAAGGGTTTTTTTTTACTATCCTTGCCTGTAAACCCGAGTAAATTCCAGACATATTGGCGGCGTTTTCGTACGACTGGCCTCTACAATTGTTTATATCAATATCATTTATAGTTAATAAAGACATTACAGCCATTTCAAGTGCTTCAGACTTATGCTCAACATTTGGTAAAAAACACATGAAGCGTTCGACAGGAAAACCGTCATCTCTAACGTAACGAATAACGTATGCTAATTGGTCTGTGTGGCTGATATCAGGAGTTGAGTCTAACACAATCGAAAAATATTTTGCACTTTTAATTTCTTTTATAATTACATTAGTAAATTGTGTTGTCATTAATGTAATTATTTCAACACATGTCGTAGAAGAAAGGTAAGATGTATGGCCACTACCCGGGTTTCCATGTTGAACTATATGATTGCTTAGAAAAGGGTCAAATTCAGATATTAATTCTAAACACATCATAAAATTACCATTATTTTGGCTTCCAAATTTTTCCATGGAACCTCTAAATGGAAGACCGCGACTTCCCAGTTTTTTTATAACAGCAATAACCCGTTTCAACACATTTTTCCAATAATCTATTTCATTGGTTATTTGAACACAGAGATCACTATATATTCTCCCAATATTATTACTCCTACGTAAAAATACTATTTGACAGTTAGTATGTTCGTTAGAGACTTCATGTTGTTTTACAACCTTAATAACATTTCTCCAGTCCGTTAAACCTTCTGTAGCAAGTTTGGTAGAACCTCCAAACATTCGACAGGGAATACAAAACAATGCATTTTTACTACGAGAATAAATTAAAAATTTTCGAAGCTGTTGTTCTCCATTTAAAAGTTTCCGATAAAATACACTGTTTTTTAAGTATCGCGTTTTATTCCCAAACTTTACTCTTGTTGGCGATAATTCATAGTCAATATTTTGTTTTATTTCTTTTAGTAATAAGCGATCAATTGCCAAATCATTAATTACCCATTCTGCAGGATCCTCGCTGATTAAATCGACTATTGGTACATCATCTTTCTCAATATTATTATTTGAAAAACTTTCTGAGGATGTGACGTTTTGAATATAAGTGATGTCCGTAGTACTGGTACCCGAGTTTGAACAACTAGCGAGCGTTTTTTGTGTAGTGTCAACTTCATTTAAAATAATGTTTGGTTTAAAAAAAGAATCTATTTTTGGGGTTTTTTGCACTAAGTTATTTAGTTTAATTTTTTTTTCTTCCGCGATTTTTTTATACTTATAGCCAATAAAACGTGATCAACCGTCACTCATTTTACTAGTTTTATTAAAAAAGTCACAAATCAAAATAAAAAAAATCAAATATTCATACAAATTAGGAGTGTGAACTTCATCTGCACTAAAAAAATTAACACCGAACACGTACGTTACTATAATACTATTGGGTTTTTATTAAATATTATATTTTGTGATATAGACACAGTGCCATTTCCCAGTATACACACTTATAGAAATAGGCATATTGTATAGACTTAAAAATAAAAACTGATTTCATGATTAGATACAGATAAACCCACAATCGTCAACGGTCAACCCATGTTATATTTTTCTAATTTATTACCATTAACTTATTTTACGATCGTCGTATTCACTTGTCTGTTGTCAAGTCGTATAAAAACAACATGACAACGGAAAATTTATAAATAGTGCAGCAATGCTATAATAGGGCGATAGACTACGATTTTGAAATTGAAAATCACCCTAACAATAAATATTACTACAATCCCGTTAGTCTAAGAACATTTTATAAATAGTTGCATTTCTTTCAGTTCTAGTTATATATAGTAAAATATTGTAATATTAAAATTTATTTGCCGCCCTTGAGAAATTGCCGCCCTAAGCACTAGCTTATAGTGTTTACTGGGAAATACGGCACTGGTAAATATGCTCTCAAACCGAAATTGATATTGAATATTTTATTTACCATTTTTAAGAAATTTAATTCTACAGGGGAGTATAGTAAATATATTTGTAAATAGGAGCATGGTCAGATAAGCATTATATTACAATTTTGACTCGATTATATTATTTTTCGCTATGTTATAGAAAGTTAAAAATTGACCGACAATTTATTTTTAGGTTTTTTATGGTTCTGGGGGTGAAGAAGTTGACTATTTCCCCTTTTGACCCACCAAAGTTACCAAATCATATATAATTTTGGATACCTAAAGTAAATCGGGCCATAGTAAAACATGTAATCGTTTTTGTAGATTAAAAAAAAAAAACACACATAACAGGAGTACTAGCTCAGTATCGATGCTAAAAAACAGCTTTGTAAATAAACTAACAACGATGCGCTGGAAAATATGTTTTTACTTATCTGTACTGCCGAAATATGGACAATCAAAATGTACTTAGAAGTAGAATGTTTTTCGTAGTTTCTTGCTGCTTTGTTTATGATAAAAGTGTTCAACCATATCACACATACTTTGAATAAACATTATACCCAGTGATCCACCTTATGTAATTTTTTTACTACATTTCTATGGAATAAAAACCATATTATGTTCTCATATGGAAAAAACGAAGTCCATCTTCTTATACGTATAAGAGACAAATCAAAAAAATTCTATAATTATTAAAAACTATAATAAAAAATACAAGCACCTAAATTATAGGAAAAAATAATTTTCAAACATTTTATATTTTCCAAAAAATATAGTGTCATCAACCAATTCGATCACCCTGTAATATATTATAATATATTACGAGTATATTAACCGTGAGTCAAAAAAGTGGAGCCTACTGTATTAAATTTAGTTGGACTAATACAAATGGTTTATGAAAACATAGCTTAGTCAAGTTTTGCAAATGGGAAATTTAGCGTAAAACATATTCTTAAAAGATAACTACAAAAAAAAAAACAATACATTTAAACAATTTTAAAACCAAAACATTTTCATCTCGACCATTCCGAAAGACCCGAGCCTTATATAAATTGCATTTATGTTTATTAATTCTTTTAGATAAAAATGAAAATGTCCTATGTTTTAATGTCATTAATCTGCGTAAATGTTTTGGCAGATATAAGTATAAGTAAGTATTTTGTCTTATACTTAAGTACACAAGGTAGATGAAACTCTAAAAAAAATTAATATTGAACTATTCTTTTCAGTGAAATATATAGAGTTGGTTGAAATTTCAAGTAAGCTATATTTTATAATCATATAGACTAACTTTGTGAGTTTTTAAATTTTACTAATTTTATACATACTTTTTTTTTAAAACATTTATTACAGACTTACAAATCTTGAAAGCTTCAAACTATAAAGATGATCATATAGAAAGTAAGATCATAACCAATGTGCTAATATATAATTGTATTATAATGATTGCCTAAGTGTCAAATTATTTGTAAAGAAAATATAAGTTTATTTTTATATTTAAGAGGAGGCCGCCCATGCATTTTTACTATGAGCTCACCTGACTCTAGGAATTGGCTAATTATCCCAATAAGGGTAGTTGCTTAATGTATGGTGTAATTTTTTCTAATGATTTTTATATTTATTTTGATTTTATTTGGCACTTTTCTATAAGTCAAACCTTTTTTTATTTGTTCTAGATGGATTGGTGCATGTACTTACAGTCATGATAAATGCAGATCACTGGGCAATAAGTAATAATAATTATGTGATAACAAAAAAAAATCTTGGTTATAAAAGAAATGTGTACAATTAACAACAAAAATGTATCTTAAACCCTTTCACTGCTATTGTGTTTTACACACTGCAACATGTCACAACCATCGTCATACTGGAAAAAGGTTTCGTTATTATTTAATTAATTGTAGCATAATAGCATGCCCAGTGTTGTATATTGTTATATTGTTATATTTATAATATGGTTATTCAGATAACACTAATTAATGTGTACGCATTAATTAGTAATTAGTATTGAAAATAATTACTTGTCATTGCTGTTATAGCGTTTTATAATAAACGTCTTTTATTAATCCTAAAGTTGAGTTGTATTCTTCTACAGTTAAGTATACAACAAATTGGCGACGAAGATTTAAAATTTTTTTTTTGTTCTTTGCTAGTATATAATATATTTTATATACATATTGTTAGTAAAAAATATATAAAAAAAAAAAAAAAACCGAACTCGTTTAACATGACACAATCATCACGCAACGACGGAGCATCATCGGCGTCACTAAGGACCATCTACTCGCAAGTCATCGGCACTCCGGGAATTTTCGATCAAGAGACGAATGTAAAGATATATTTCGCTCGGCTAAAGAACTTTTTCGCCGCCAACGGCATCACGGAGGAGAGTAAGAAGAGGGCAATTTTGCTATCCTCGATTTCGGAGGAAGTGCATAAAATTCTGTTCAGTCTGTGTTTGCCCGAGGACCCCGACGGTAAGACTTTTGAGTCGTTATCGGTCATACTGCAAAATCACTATGAGGCAAAAAAATCGTATTTTGCCGCCCGCCACCAGTTTTACCTAGCTCGTAAAAACCACGATGAAAGTGTGGTCCAGTGGGGCGCTCGCGTACGCGAACTTGCGTCTAAATGCGGTTTTGGGCTAGAGCTGGAGGTAGTAGTGCGGGACGTATTCGTTGTTGGAATGGGATCCGGCAAGATCCATGATCGATTACTGGAAGAGGATGCGTCAGTAGCATCAACCACGCTGGTTAAGCTGATGGAGGTGGCGACCACGAAGGAGGCAAACATCAACGCGAGTAAAGAGTGGTCAAGGGAAACGACCAGTGCGCTCCACTTCACCAAACAGAAAGGGAGTCAAGTATACACGACACCGAAGCGAAATGGAGTTAAGCGGTCAAGTGGACATCACCAGAATGCGGCCACGAGTAACCAAGCCAACGGGAAAGGGAAGTGCCAAGTATGCGGCCGTTCCAACCACGACACCGGATCATGCAGGTTTAAAAATTATTCTTGTAATGGGTGCGGGGTAGTAGGTCATTTGGCCCCTATGTGCAAAGCTAGGGGTACACAAAATAAAGGTACTAAGTATAAGGCGCAAAATAAGTTTTTAACGGTAAAGGAGCGGTCAGGCGATCACGATTCTTGCGTAGATTTAATCGATTCTTTTTTTGCACTTAATGATATTTCCCACGATAAGCTTAAAGTAGCCCCGTATCGAATTAATTTAGCTGTCGAAGGTAAACCTATAACCTTTGAAATTGATACCGGTTCTGTGCACAGTATTATTTCCGAATCGATGTTTAAATCATTAATAGGTCCGAAGGTTATTGTCACTAACGACGTCGAGTTGTCAGATTACGTCGGCAATAGAATCACACCGATAGGTAAAGTCGCGCTCACCGTCACGTATAACAATAAAACAGCCGACAAATGGGTGTATATTGTTCAAAACGGGGGACCACCGTTACTCGGTAGAAATGATTTATCAACGCTCGGTATTAATAACGTGTTAAACTTAAAGTGTAATTTTACCGGCGCAGAGGATAGCGTTGAAACGGTTTTAAAAAAGTATCCAAACGTGTTCAGTGAGGAGCTGGGGACTTTTAATGGATACAAAATATCACTAAAAGTAAAACCGGGGATCACGCCAAAGTTTTTTAAACATCGTCCAGTTCCTTTAGCATTAAGGGGAAAAGTTGAGACCGAGATAGATCGACTGTTGTCTATCAACGCTCTGATACCCGTCGACCACAGTGAATGGGCAACTCCCGTAGTTCCAATATTGAAAGGGGACGGTAGTGTCAGGCTGTGCGGAGACTTAAAATTACCATAAATCCCGTG